ATCTTGTTTTTGAAAATGTTGTATTTTGGACATGCTTTGTCAGTTGTCATTCAAACTTGGTACATAGATTATACATGTTAGGATACATGTCCATGATGGATCAAAGATGGTCGACTGGCAGGCATCTTGTTTTTGTTTTTTTATGCGGTATCTTGGACGTGCTCTGTCAGTTTTCATTCAAATTTGGCACATACATGTACTTTATACATGTTAGGATGCATATCCATGACAATTTGTTTCAAAATCTGGTCAAGGATGGCCGATTAACAGCCATCTGACTTTTTGGCCTTACTACTATATTTCCACAATTTATGTACCATTTTCATTCGTATTTGGCACATACATCATACATATCAGTGTGTTTCATAATCAGATCAAAGATGGCTGAATAACGGCTGTTTTTATTTTGGCCATATTACTATGACATGAAACACGTGTTTTGATGTAAATAAACAATCTGTTGTATACGCCACTTGGAACTCAAGTTTCAAGGACACGCTCGCGACAACCCCTCCGCTTTAATATGACGAGCACAAAGAGAACTTAACGGGGACTGTGTCATTTTCAATGACTTGTCCAATTTAGCTTCCTAATTTACAGAATTAATTTTTCTGCTTTTGAATATTGTTTGTTGACATTGAATATTGAGCTATTGCGCTAAATCAAAGATGAAACTAATTTCCTAAAATGGCTAAATTATTTCAACGTGTTTCATCATGGTATGGATATTAGCCTGTGCTTTGTATATGATGGACTTAAAATTCTGGTACATATTTCTCACACATTCTTACAATTTTAGAAATGCATGTCAAGTAACAAAGACAAAGTTAAGATGTCAATGTCATTGTCATTGGCCATCAGTGGAAGAACAACGTTTGAAGAACAAATACGAGAAAGTTCACAACACTTACAAACTATTGAGGTAGGATACGACTCACTTGCTTGTTTGTTGACATCATTGGACTGTTGTAGTAGCATCATAATTGTGCTGCAATAATGATAATATGAGGATATTACAAGGATACCTTAAAGTATGCACGAAGACAGTACAGCAGAAGTATCAACTGACACGCAGTGGAGGTCAATGTGACTGCATACTGTCTGAGTGCATACTTTGAGGTATTCTCGTAATAACATCATTATTATACATCTTTTCCTTCCAAGGATACATCATGGGAATGTCGAAATCTGAAAAGTTTAGAACAGAATCAGCGAACTTCTTTGTGTGGCAGCCATGTTTGTTTTTATTATTAGAGGACGCTTACGCGCGTAATCATTCCATATTTGGAATTCGCATTTCCTTATATGGTAGGATGAAAATACCCTGTAAAATACCGCAAAATTACGGTACGCTGTAACTTATGGCGTTACGGTGACAGATTTATAATAATGTTTAATATAGATATCGTATTTACCCTAATAGAAGACAACTCCAATCTCCAGTGCACGTACATAAGCCAAAAATTGCATTTACCAGATAAACTGTATTAGTAGTGTAAATTATAGAGATGATTATGAGTTTACAAAAAGTTATTTTGTAATTATTCAGTTTACATAACCCTAATGACATTCGCATCAAACATGACACAGTGCTACAATTGGGACGCTTTATGTAAACATACTAGTCAGTCAACCAGACTTTCTATCATTTAACTTATTTTTTCATGACTTTACATATTTACAGATGGAATATAATCGAGTCTCGGAACAAAGAAAAGCAACAGTGCAAGAGGCTAAACGGTTAATGGATGTTGCTAAGCGGGCAACAGGTACTGCTCATGATGAGGAATTGTCTCCTGCGCTTCGAGAGGTATATATAATGATTCATTAGTCAGATTGTGTTTTAATTTAGATCCCCAATCAGCCACAGTCAAGTCTGTTTATTTCTCAGTCGTATACAAGGAGAACACCTGATGATTGTATGATACCTGATTGTATAGTAATTTCAGTTATGGCCGACTAGCAGCCATTTTATTCCCTAACTGCTGAATGAAATAACTATTCTGCAGACATGACGAGGTAATGATTAAGTTGTTGACTATGCATCTTCATATACATTAAGTAATGGTGAAGAAAACTTTGTTTTTTTGTCTTTGCAGGCATTCAGTCAGTTTCCTAGTACATTACAAGAAATAGATAACATGATACACCATGAGAGAACTACAGCAGCAAGTATGTATGAAACGGATCCTAGGATTGTGGAGGAATACAGACAGAGAAAACAAGAAATCACCAATCTGGCAGCACAGGTGAGTTATTGACTAGTCAGGCCGGAGGCATACAGACAGAAAAAACAAATCACCGATCTGACAGCACAGTTAAGTTATTGACTAATCAGGCTGGAGGCGTACAGACAGAGAAAACAACAAATCACCAATCTGGCAGCACAGGTGAGTTATTGACTCTAGTCAGGCTGGAGAAGTACAGACAGAAAACAAGAGTTATTAACTCTAGTCAAACTGAAGGCATAGAGACAGAAAAAACAAGAAATCACCAATCTGGCAGCACAGGTGAGTTATTGACTAGTCAGGCTGGAGGCGTACAGACAGAGAAAGGAGGAAATTGCCAATTTGACAGCACAGATGAGTTATTGTCTCTAGTCAGGCTGGAGGCGTACAGACAGAGAAAGGAGGAAATTGCCTATCTGACAGCACAGATGAGTTATTGTCTCTAGTCAGGCTGGAGGAGTACAGACAGAGAAAGGAGGAAATAACCAATCTGGCAGCACAGTTGAGTTATTGACTCTAGTCAGGCTGGAGGCGTACAGACAGAGAAAACAGGAAATTACCAATCTGACAGCACATTTGGGTTTCTGGAAAATGAATCACCTCGTATAAATTGTATCTATGTATCAATCAGATCATGCAGTGGTTTACTTCTCTAAAACTGCTTGTTTCATTAATTCTGATATTCATTGTTTTTTATCTGGTTGGCCTGATGTATCTTCTAGTTTGCAGTGTATAGAGTACAAAATAAAACTTTACATTGTACCTGTGATATTTCTGAATTCAATCCTTGTTCCACTGATATCTCAAGAGCCTGTCTTCAGATATGATTTAGCTGTTAGGTCATAGTACGAATTCCATGCATATTTACAGTGTGATTAACTTTAAATTGTATACATAGATAACCAATTTCTACATATGCCTACAACACCCATACAGGTGTTAGCATGGTTGTAACGCCACACATTGGATTAACTTTTAATATAGTTGCGATATGAACTTGATTAAAACACGTTCCTATACAAGGTTGCGTTTCAATTGGAGTTTAATTAAACTCAATTACAATGCAATACAACGTACAATTGCATTTTAATTAAGTTTAATTAAGTAAAAGTTGAATATCCCATGACTGAACATAGAAATGTTTGCGAAGCTTAGGTTTAGTAACGAGGGAAGGTATGGTACAATCATATTAATATTAATATAAATTGAACCCATACCTCCCCTTTCTACTAAACCTAAGCTACGCAAAAACGTATTAATAATCAAATTAACTATTAATATAAATAAAGTGTTCCGAGGACTATAAAAAAGGTCCTTAGAAGGTGTGTATGTCCTCGGAAGTTGGTATATAATATAACAATGTCCCACCTTTCACACACACACACCCAAATCTTGTTGTACATGTAAATACAAAAGTTATTGTACATTCATATCAGGACCCCTATTGAACGCTCACAGTCTCAATGACTGTCTCTCCTCCTTTAAGCAAACAGTTTTGTAAATTTACAGTTAGTATCCATATTTAGCACTGAATTTGAGTAAGTTTTAACACACCAGCTGTTGAAAGGCCTCTATGGATAGACAAAATGAATGGTGAGAAAATGTTTAATTAATTAATTAAAAGCAAACTGTTTTTGTATGTAGGTTGAGAAAAAGAAAGTTATGTTGGAAAAACATCAGCAAGAGATAGCAGACATAAAAGTAAAATGGCTGACTCCATTGCAGGAGTTGATATCTCGTATCAGTGATAGATTTGCTTATTTCTTCAAATGTATGGGTTGTGCTGGTGAAGTGGATCTTTATAAAGGAGAAAATGAGGTTAGTATTACTGTATTGATAATTATTGTAAAACATGTTGAAAAAGCGACATGAATTTTTAGCGAATTGTGGTGAAATGACCTAATAGCGAAATGTTGATTTAGTGAATCTCTCTTGTCTTTGTTGATTTCCTGTTTTCACAATACTTTTCTGTCGCTTACCAAAACATATGCGCAGTTATCACCTCCATAAAATCAAAGAAAAACTGTCAAGTGTAATTAGGAAGCGTCCCAGATTTTTATGTTCCAGATTACTGTATACAAATTTTCAAGCCTTGGCCATTTTGAATTAATAATAAAGTCATTAGCGACATCTTGAATTAGCGAATCAGTTTTCTCGCGAAAAAGACAGATTTTACAGTATATCAATCGTATAGCCACCTTGTATAGAATCATAATATGTACATCTTTTTCAACTAAACCCAATATGTACTGGGATCATACCAATTTTAATTGAATTCCGTGTGCATTTACTGTGATTCAAAAAAGAATAGAATGGCAATATTGCAGTATGAGACACTGTTATGCTAATGATATAGCTATATTAGTTACAATGTAACCATTGCTTATTATGGCAACACTTTATGTAATGTAGCTATATCATTAGCATAACAATGTCTGAGACCAAAACATCAAGAGAGTTTGTTTCTCTTGCGATGCTTACATCACAGTTCAATCCATACACAGAGACATAGTGCTGTTAAGACTGGCAAGTAAATTGGTTATATTTGACATTTACACGAACAAAATAGTTTGCAGTTGATAATCTATTTTTCAGACGTGTATTTATTTATCGAATATGACCAAATCAAAGCCAGTGTTTGCAACAAGTGTGGATGTGAATATTAGTGTTTCCTGTAATCGGGGGATTATATGCATTCATGTGTATGGTTACACTGGGCACTGACTCAAATACAGAGAAAAGAAGAAAGACATTGTTATTGCTCTTGATGTAGCTTGTACAGATCTTAGATTTTGAAATGGATTGATGCTAATTGTATCATTGAACTTGAATTAAATTTTCCGCAACACAGTGTAGTTGTCATGGGTAAATTTGCAAAACAAAGAATTCGTTGTATGATTCCCAGGCCAGTGAATTTCTTTCAGTGCCTGTGATTTTTTCAACGTACTGGCCAGCTAGTCCAGTACAGATTTTTCGTACACTGCTTGGTTATATTGGTCAATTTACATTACCACATGTGCTTCTAATAGAGCAAATACAGTTAGTATTTCCTATTACATCTGTGTACTTCCACTAGCTTATCTGTATGTCACATGTTTTCTACGTTTTTGAATTCACTTGATCTATTCTTGTAGGACGACTTTGATAAATATGGTATTCGTATTCGTGTAAAGTTTCGTAAGAATGAGAGTCTGAGAGAACTGACGTCATATTATCAGAGCGGTGGAGAGAGAAGCGTTTCTACTATACTATACATGATGGCCTTACAAGAACTCAATAGATGTCCATTTCGTGTTGTGGATGAGATAAATCAGGTAATTACATTTACAATCTAACTGGTGGTGTGGTTAATTAGTCTCCGGTTCGACACAACTCAGGATCTTCTATGCAATATGGCTGACGAAAATCTACTAGTTTTGTTTTTTTACAGAATTTGCTTACGTTTTGAATTGCTGCTGTCCAATATGGTCTGAACACAGATAATTGTGTTTCAGCTCATCAATGAGAGTTGGCCCGTGTTGCAATTAAATTCAAGATGGTTGACTGGCAAATTTGTTCGGCCTTTTTTTTTTTATGAGATTGTGCTTATAATTTACATTGTTAGGTTCAAAATTGATAAACAGACAACTTTGTTGTAGCAGATCTGTGTAATGATCCAATCCAAAGTAGTCAACTTTTTGACATTTTGTTTTAAATTTTGCGAACATAGACTCACATGTTAAATTGTCTTGCAGTCCAAGACATTTAATTCACAGCTCAGAACTGCAACATGTACTTGTGTGATAGGAACATATAAATTCTGACATTTAACTTGTCATATACTAAAAAGTTAATCTGATCGGTACTATCCTATAGTGATTGATGTAGCCCTCAAAGCGACAACTGAATCACAATAGTAGTTGGAGTTACGGTATATATTTTGAAATTTAACATTTGATTTTAATTTCATTCTAGGGTATGGATCATAATAATGAACGTAAAGTGTTTGAATTGGTCGTACAGACTGCTTGTAGAGATAGCACATCCCAATACTTTCTTGTCACCCCTAAGGTAACTGTTGCACTTCATTCATTTATTTACACACCTGTGAAGAGTTTTTGCGGATACTCTGTCTGTCTGTCTGTCTGTCTGTCTGTCTGTCTGTATGTCTGTATGTTTGTCTGTCTGTATGCATGCATGCATGCATGCCTGCCTGCCTGTATGCACATGATTTTGTCTTCCACTGATATCTCATTGGTTTAAAACTTTGTATATACCATACTTGTCCACCCACCCCCACTTTAGGAACATTTCTATTTTTGGGTTCACATTTGCCTTAGCGCCCAGCGTCCCAAAAGCCCCAAATTTGACTGTCTAATTGTAATACCTCATTTTTGATCATTGTTTGATATTTCCGAATGCCAGTAATCAAATTTATATGACGAAGCCTGGATATCGACTGCCGTGACTATGTTGTGAATACATAAACCATGGTAACCGTACATAAACTACGCTTCGACAATGACCTGTTAACAAAAGTGAAAGGTGGTAAATACTTCATTCCAAATTAAAAAAATTGCTAATTACCAGTTTTTCAAAAAAGAAATCAAGCCGTTTTTTTGCCAAAATCAATTCTAACAAATCATACTTCAACAACAAAAATGCACTTCTCCATTGCATTGCATTACTAGAATGCCTTCAGGAATTCCTGGATTCTGATTGGTTAATAACAGACAACCTATCAGGTCAAAGGACGTTGTTGCCTTGACAATGAAGATAAGGAAGCAAACTTTGACTTTGATTGTGTTCCAACAGACTAATAATTTTAACCTTGTAAATTCAGGTGGTACGTGATTAATATTGTAATAAAATGTGCAAATTTGTGTGACCATTTGTGTCTCATTGTAAAAGTGTTGTTGTAATCAATGATGACACAACTATATTCGCAATTTTAGTTACCCCAAAAAGACGTAATATTTGAAGATGATACGTATGGATGTTTTGAAATTGTCCACAACCTGTAAAATTTGGGATTGTAATTTGTGCATATCAATCAGCTAATTTGCATAGTAATCAAACTTTTCAGCTCTTATACAATTGTTGTGATATATATTAAATGATGCCTTTAATTGCAGTGTGGCTAAAATTTCTGCCTTAGGCGTATTATATATATAACAAACAATCCTGCCCATGAACTGGGAAACCAGGTCACAGTCAAGGGAAATAAATATAAATGTTTTGGATTGAGTTTCTTGCTAAAAACTTTGTCGAGCGGAGCTTATCATATGAGTGATTGTCCGTCGTCGTCCGTGTCAATGTTTTACTTTTTCGACTTCTTCTTGAAGACTACAAGCCTGAATGCTTTGATACTTGGTGTACATGTACCTTGGGTAGACCTCTCCCAGATTTGTTCATTTCATGATCATATCTTCAATTCTCTAATTTTGGTGAATATTTTTGTCATTTTTGGTAAAAAGTGATATTTTCAACTTCTTGTTAAAAACCACAAGTTCAATTGCTTTGATATTACATACATAGGTACTACAAGTGGACCTGTCTCAGATTTGTTCATTTTGTAATGATATCTTTAATTCTCTAATTTTGGTGAATATTTTTGTCATTTTTGATAAAAAGTGATATTTTCAACTTCTTGTTAAAAACCGCAAGTTCAATTGCTTTGATATTACTTACATAGGTACTACAAGTGGACCTGTCTCAGATTTGTTCATTTTGTAATGATATCTTTAATTCTCTAATTTTGGTGAATATTTTTGTCATTTTTGATAAAAAGTGATATTTTCAACTTCTTGTTAAAAACCGCAAGTCCAATTGCTTTGATATTACATACATAGGTACTACAAGTGGACCTGTCTCAGATTTGTTCATTTTGTAATGATATCTTTAATTTTGGTGAATATTTTTGTCATTTTTGGTAAAAAGTGATATTTTCGACTTCTTGTTAAAAACCGCAAGTCCAATTGCTTTGATATTACATACATAGGTACTACAAGTGGACCTGTCTCAGATTTGTTCATTTTGTAATGATATCTTTAATTTTGGTGAATATTTTTGTCATTTTTGGTAAAAAGTGATATTTTCAACTTCTTGTTAAAAACCGCAAGTCCAATTGCTTTGATATTACATACATAGGTACTACAAGTGGACCTGTCTCAGATTTGTTCATTTTGTAATGATATCTTTAATTTTGGTGAATATTTTTGTCATTTTTGGTGAAAAGTGATATTTTCGACTTCTTGTTAAAAACCGCAAGTCTGATTGCTTTTATATTACATATATAGGTATTACATGTGGACCTTGTTAATTTCATGGTGATATCTTCAATTACTTAATTTTGATGATTATTTTTGTCATTTTTGGTGATAAGTGATATTTTTGAATTCTTGTTGAAAACAGCAAGGTCCGTTGCTTTGATACAATGTACATATTGTTCATTTTCTAATGATATCTTTTGTTCTTTAATTGAAATGTGCATTGCTAACAGCGGAGCTATCTCAGCCGACAGGCTGCTTGTTTATTTTATTTACTACTAACCTTGTATTTTTTTCTGTTGACAGTTATTGCCAAATCTAAGCTATGGACCTAAAATGACAGTTCTGTGTGTCTATAATGGTCACTGGATGATGCCACACACCAAATGGGATATCAGAGCTTTCTGTCGAAGACGGCGTCGACTCAT